TGGAATTACAAATCATTTGGCAGGTATAACTGTTCGCACACATGTATTAAGCAGTTTACCTGGGGTTCCACTGTAAGCTGCAATGCATCAAGAACATTTCTACACAGGGGCGTATCTAGAAATCACAGGGCCCCATAGCAAAATTTTGTATGGGGCCCCGTGATTGCTAGTTATGCCACTTGCAGAGCCCTGATATACCAAACAGACCACCTGAGAGTGACCCTGCAGAGTCCACCATATACTCTCTATAGTGGGCTCTGCAGGGTTTCAGATGGGCTGCACACCTCTTACCTGTCAGCGATGTCCGCCTCCGTGGTCGCTGGGGCCACGCCTCCTCTTCCATCCCCGGGCCCGCCTTCTCCTACGTCCCCGGGCCCTGCCTGCTCTTAGTTCGCTGGCCAGTGATGTAAGAGGTGGGGTTGCTCTTAGGCGGGCCCCGTTTCCTCCTTCACTGCGAACGCCGGCCTCTTCTGCCGTAGCAGCTGGCTGTCACTGACACAGCTCCGCAGTAGCTGTGAGGGGAAAAGCCGCTGCTGAGCTGCGTCAGTGACAGCCAGCACCCTTTCATGCCATAGCGACCCACACGGCATCAGAGGGATGCCCTGGCCGGGCGCCATAGCGGCCGCCTGGGTCGCTATGGTGATTGGGACGCCACTGTTTCTACCCATTAATACTCTTTTGCAGGACTGCAATGATGTTTTACTAGAAAACACCCTGACCTCCTAAAATTTGGAATATGTTGTAATATATGTGTTACGTGCCAGCACGATTGTTATTTTCAGCCATGTGACTGTTGTCTTCAGCTCACATTGGTCCTCGTGGCTAAAAACAACAGTTGTTGTGACCAGTGATGATTGTTGTAGCTTAGTGAATTGAGCTTAAATTATTCAGTTTTCAAAGAACTGCATTGGGATTAATGCCTTATGTAATTTCAAATCAGTCCCTTCCCCAATTAATTCTCTCATCCACCTACTGATGTTTCAGTTACAACTGTCACTTTACTGCAGACTGCGGCATATTATCCCTTATACTTCCAATAGGCTGCATTGGCATTTTTGTCATGCCTAATTACAACAAATAGTACAACAAATATGTTTGCACTCTCCGAGCTTGACTGTTTCACACTCTTTACAGCTCCCTCTGAGAGATCAGAGGAGCAAAAGGATAAAATGCATTTGTGCACTGGCCACGCTCCAGTGAACTACAATAAAGTTAGATCCAGCTTGAAAATATAAATAGCCCTGAGACACGACGTGTGTAAATCTGACCATTGCCTTTATGAAAAATAAAAGTTGACAGGCTTTATGATGGAGACATGGACCATAAGGCAAAATCTCGACAAGGCACGACTATGTTTTAATCCTAACATTTCCACCCAGAGGCTAGTGATAAGAGGGATTTTCATATGCTTTCATTTAAGCGATAACAAATACATAATGAACATCTGTACTAAATACCAGCGTGCTGCCAAAAGTCTACATGGCTAGAAAGCAAAACGTTCCGTGTAAAATTTCATTTCCAAACATCCTTACAAGTCATATTATGTCCTGTTCTCCAACGACCTAATGAATGAAAACACAATGCCTGCATCATCCTGCAACACGTTTTTTTCCAAGGAGTGCAGGGAACACACCCTTTTCAAACCATTGCCGAATTTGTATCCAAAACATAAAACAAATTATCCATCACAACTGGCGAAGCACTAATCCTGTACACTTAGGCAATTAAATCAAATGATATGCGACACAAATTAGTATTTGTGATATGCTGTCCACAAACATAATCAATACCCCTTATGACTGTTACACAACAAGTCTGTGTACATGATATACTCATTACAGACAGGAGTATTCCCAACTCATACAATATCAGAAAAGCAGCCACTGTACAATGCCTTATAACACAAGTAGCATGTGAGAAATAATGAGGGGAATTTATCAAAACTGGAGCAGCTGTGCATGGCAACCAATCAGCTTCTCTCTTCAGTTTGTTCAGTTAGGATTTGAAAATGAGAGAGAGGTGCTGATTGGTTGCCATGCACAGCTGCTCCAGTTTTGATAAATTCCCTTCAATGTGTTACATGTTTAGGATTCCATTATGACAGTATAGGGGGAGGGGAGAAATGAGAGCAGGGCAGAGGTTATTACATTTTTCGGAATACAAGTTGAAAGACGAATGTTTGATTGTGGTGGAGTCTTTTCAGCACCACATCAGAATGCCATGCTACCTATAGCCACACGTTGGCAGTATTATTACAGGCAAAGAGGGAGTTGCAAAGAACGCAGGATACATGTTACAGAATTCATGTGACTCGTAAAGAAATCACTTACATAGTTTTTAAGTTGAAAACAGAATTTAACTATGTCCAGGATGCTGACCAGCCATTAAAAAAAAAAGTATCTTCATTATAAACTGCTCAAACGTCCATCAAGGTTATTACTGATATTTATGTCTGGGAATAAACACTTTGGCTACGACATTTGTGCAATTACATCAAAATGAGCCGGGTTATTTCTTAAGGGACAGTCTGAGATCCGCTGAAAATAGCTGCACTATGCTGGCACTGGACTGCTTCCACAGATTACAGCTTCCAAATTGCTTTACAATACTGGAGAGATGGATGCTGCTGTTAAATCCTGAAATAAAATTGTTTTATAGCCCACTGGCGCAGACAGTTGGAGATGTGAGAGCACTGGAAGATCAAGTAGCAAATATATGACCACAAATCTTGTACCGCTATGCTTTGCACAAAAGAGGGATTTTTTTTATTGCAGTTCTTTCTTTAAAGTGCCGCCACACCCTTATACACATTAATGTTCCAAATAAACTTATACAAAAGAGTTTTTTTTTTTTTTTAATCATTTATTAGATCATCTTCATTTAATAAAAATAATATAAGGTGTATATTTCAATGGCCAAGCCTACCCTCCCCACCACCTCTATTGTAATTTAAGCAAACATAAAATGACTAGTAAGTATACTTCCAAGCCCAGTTTCTTTTGTTTCCTGTTTGCATTCCTCTCACACACACCGGGACTAGTTGTACAATCAACTCTTCACACCATCCTTCAGGCGCAAGTAGCCAAACCAGAAGAACAGCTTTGGCCAACAAAAAAAAAAACTGTTTTATTTTCCGTTGCTCTTTTGTCTAATTAAAGGGTAAAGTTTTTAAACTCAAACATCTAAGACGCTTGGAAATCAAATATTAGTTTTCCAAGAAAGGAGGAACGTCAGCCTTAAACTATGACCCAAGGAACGGGGGAGAAAAAAAAAGCCCTGCAACAGAAAGAGCACACATCTAACAAACGCTACGTGGAGAAGGATGCACACAACATCACAGCACTTACAAAAGCAGTTCAGCACCAAACAGGTTTCAACATGCAAATGAGGCTCCGAGGTACTCCTCCATTCAATGGAAAACACAAATCAACCAAGGGTCCTACTGTGCTTGTCTTTGTTACAAGCCAACATAGGCACTATGGAGTGCCCAGGCAAAAAGAGAGCTATAAATCAATAGTAAGATAGCCTGATGAGCCTGTTACTGGAGTTGTTTGAACGAAGAAAAGCCCCATAATACTGCTCAGCCGGCTGTCTGACTTTTACTTGAAGACGGAGACTATAAAAATAAACATATATTTGAAAAATGCGTGTGTGATCTGGATAATTCTGATCTCTAAACAGATGTAAGGAAATATGACCACAACGCCACAAAAGGGCTGAGGCTGGGATGGGAAGACAAGAAGCGTCGAATCATTTCCATTCAACCCACAGCACAGTGCTGCCTCTATACACAGTCAGTCACGGTTAAAGTGAAAGATTCCATTCTCACAGATCTAGTTCTGGCTAAATCTGACATTATCTAGCATGTACTGCATAGCTTCTAAGAAGTTTCATTGACAAAACAAAAGACAGATTACACAAAGATTCCCGTTACGGTGCAGCATGGTTACTTAGATTGCCAAAAGTGTAGAGGGTAACCTTTACAGCAGCCTTTCTCAACCAGGCTTGCTCCAAAGCTAGCTAGGGCTTCCTTCATCAATAAGTGATTTCCACCTCTCAGATATATAACCACTGCCACCAAACATCTTATTAGCTATGGGCAAGGGGCATTCTCCCCAGTGACCGCCAATGTAAGGGGCATAGTAACCAATAGAGGGCATTCTAATCAATGACCACCAAGGTAAGGGGGGCATTCTAATCAATGACCACCAAGGTAAGGGGGGCAGTCTAACCAATGACCACCAAGGTAAGGGGGGCAGTCTAACCAATGACCACCAAGGTAAGGGGGGCAGTCTAACCAATGACCACCAAGGTAAGGGGGGCAGTCTAATTAATGACCACCAAGTGGGGCGATCTAACCAATGGCCACCAATGCAAGGGGGGCATTCTAACCAATGACCACCAATGTAAGGGTGCAGAGTTCTCCCCACTGACCACAACACTACTAAACTGTGAGCTGTAGATATAATAGATTTTTGGTATATAGGTTCCCCTGAGACCCAAAATGATTTCAAAGGTTCCTCCATAGAAGGAAGGATGGAAGAGGGCTGATTTTCTGAAATGGATCCAATTGACTAATGAAATGAATAAAGTACAGAACCTGACTTGAGCTTTTGACCGGCCATCAAACAGCCCAAGTGAGACAGAACTGACCATCATGTGTAGGCTAACATAGGAGGGGTGCCATGTCCTGGAAGGCCAGCAGATAGACTACAATCAGGGTACTTCCAAAGCATGACATCAGCCAGAAGAAACGAGGCCACTTTTAATCAATGATTGTCCAGATCCTGAAAGTGGCATCTCTCGGGAGGCCCCTCTGAACCAGGTATACACCCGGCTGTGACGTCATCACCGAACAAGATACAGCTGCGATCCCGTGCGCACACAGGAGGAGGACAGTGTGATGATCACAGACAGGGGACATAAACTTTGAAGTGTAGACAGAGGAGCCCCTACCCATCCATCACCCCCCTTTCTCCTCCATTCCCCGCCACATTTACCTGTCCGGAGGATGGCCGCACACAGGACACACACGGCCAGGAAACTACTTGCTGTCATGGCTCAAAGATCCGATCCCAACACACATACACTGGTAGATGCAATCGCCCGGACCGGCCGGGTGTGGATGGAGGGCACCTGTAGCTCTGGGGTCCACTGGTGATTAGTGTTCTCCCCGTCCTCTTCGCAGGGCTATCACCTGGCACTGCAGCGCACAGTCCCCCGGATGCCCTCTCCCGGGCTCTGTGAGTCAATCACAATCACCAAGAAGTCGCACACGTCCCGCAGATCCCCAGCCACCACATCAATCCTCGGCACCGAATCACCACGTCCCGCCAAGTACCACTGCCACTACTACACAGGGAGGCTCCGTCCTGCAGCCGCTGCTCCCGAGTCACTACTGACTCTCTTCTCTCTTTCCAACCTCACTCTCCCTCCTACTCCTGTCCCCACAGCCTGCCTACGCGCGCTCCCGCGATCAGGCGCGGGCACTCTTCACAGTGCGGACAGGGCACGGCGTGTGCACAGACAAACTTTCCCAGGTGCTCCCCCACCCGTCAGCACTACTTTCAGTAGAGAGCGGCTCATGTGCTAGGGGAACAACGCTAGACTGTCCCTCATTAGAGTCACAGGGACCCACGTCACTTATTGGGGGGGATGCCGGTCCCCCCCCGCCCCTCCTCCTCACTAGCCGCAGGTGTTGGGGCGGCGCGTGCACGAGCCTTCAGCAGGTGTCTCGTGCCGTCCTCCTCGCGGCGCTGCAGGACCTCTAGTGACAGAGCATGAGCCGAGATCGACGTGCACGCGTTCGCGCGCGCCTGTAGCCGACTGCTGCGCTTCACGTTGCTGCTGTCCTGCTCTAACAACGGGGCCACCTGCTCGGTTTGTCCTGCGGGACGTGACCTGACTGGGCTGCTGTTCACAATGGCGGGGGCGTGTCGGGGTCTGGGCTCGTGTCGTGTGCTGGCGGATGCCCTTTACTACTTTTCTCAGCAGCAGCAACAACAGGTAGCAGCTCATCCGAGGGGGCTACAGACGGAAACAAGTGCGCTTCACTTCTTCTTATGATGATGATGATGTGCGTTCATGTGATGACCCGGACACCCGCTTCATTCGCCACATTCCTGAGCGCTGCCTCTCCCTTGGGTGTATAAAACCCTCATAACTAGGAGGATCTAACTGGCAGAAAACCGTATGGAATGAACTCTGAAGAGCTTCTGATAACCCGCGTAAACATCTGCTAAATGTTCATACCCATTAGATTCTTCTTCCATTCCTCTAGCTCAGTATTTCTCAACATTTTTTTTCAGTCATTTAAAAGGTTTCCAAAACACTTTAAAAGGTTGCCAAATGTCGAGGTACCCCCGTCTGAGGCTTGGTTCATATCTGGGCAACTCCTAACCGCGTGGCAATCGTGCGCAAAACCATGCGGATTGCTATGTGGTCACAGAGTCGTCGATCGCGCTGTGGGTTCCATTATATACTAATGGCACCCCAGTTGTGCTGGGCGGATCACGTGGTTTCCCGCCGCAATTCCGCCCGTGCAATTGAACATGATCACAGGTTAAAAAAAAGCAGCGCGTCATGTGTCGTAAAAAAAGGTACTTGTATCTA